TCTCCAGGGGTGGTTATGTGTAAACATCTCTTCCAGGGCCAGGGAGGAGTGGGATTCAAATTGTTAGTCCATATTGCTAATTGTTTAGAAAGTAAGGAGGAGGAAAGAATTAGATTAAATGTGGGTTTGGCTTTTATTTATTTTTGTTTTCACTATTACCAAATGAAGCATTAATTTACATATCCTGTTGACTGTAGAATTATTTGGTTTCCTTCTGTGAACTAATCCAGAGAAGCTACCTAGTTTTCATTTGTCTTGAAACACTGGTATAAAAGACTAATGAAAAAAGATTGGCCATTCTTTAAGGTACAATTTTAGTTATTTTTAATAGTATTTCTTGTTTGTGGTTCAGCATACATGAGGACAAATCTTCAGAAAAATTGATGTGTTTGTTGATTTGGTTGAATATTTGCATTGTTAGGCTCTGAACCAGGAAGCTTTACAACCTTTTTTATTTTCTGCTAAAAAGCATACCAGTGTCATTCTGGGGTTAACTCAGAGAGAACATGAGTAGAATTCAAGAGGACATGGAACATCTATGCTCCCATAGAACAGTCCTGGGGAAAGTATATAAGGCTCGAAGAGCTCATTACATGAAAATGTGTCAGGTTTTCTTAGACGCCTGGAGCCAGTTCAGGGGACTCATTGTAAAATATATCGCCTACTTCCTCCAAGGACCCTAATCCTTTTGGAAATTTGGCTGAAAAGAAAAGTAACTATGTCCAGGACGAAGTTAAGTGTCTCTGATCATTTGTGAAACCTCTGTGCATTATTTTCCTATGCTTGATGGTTTTGCTTATAAAAATCCATTTTCCCACATCACTTCTTAAGTGGCCAGTCCTTGATTTTGGGGAGTGGGAATAAGAAGGTAGGTGGAATAACATTCCATAATTTCTAGGAGGCCTAATCCCCCCCACACTGCTTTTTCATGAGTCAGTAGTTCTCTGTACTTCTAAATTTAACTTTTGTTCTTATGTTTCGTCTTGCTTCCTTGCCTCTATGGTTATTTCCACAATTAGAAGTGGCTGGTGGACAATTTATATGGAGGGGAAAGTTGATCAAATCATTCCAGTTTTCCTTCCACAATCTCCCTCTACACTCCTATACCCTCACCCCCCAGACACATATGCACAGTAATGTCTAGATTGCTTTGTTAGAAAAGTAATTCCACAAAGTGTTATTGTGAGCCCATTTTTTCCCAGAGTTTTAATCACTAGAGGGAGGAAAGGTTTTAAGGATCACTTGACCATAAAGATCAGTTGATATCTTCCTTCCAGGAAAAGTTAGAGAACTTCTTACCAACTCAGCTCAGATTGGCATGGTTATATGCGGTAGGTTTACCCCTGGCCCTTTCTGCCCTCATTTTAGTAAGTAGAGAAGGGAAGCCACTGCTGTTCTCCATTGTACCTTCCTCTCCTTAATCCTTTCCCCAGTCTTGGGGAGAATTTTCACCTTTATTTCAAGAATGATTGAGTTACAAATACCCAGAATACCACTGGGTGCCTGCTGAGTCCTTCTGGGAAGGTGATGAGATCTCTGAAACAGGAAGCTTCATGGAGTCTCTTGCATTTTTGATAAGCAAGAAGCCAAGGCTGTTGACTTTTGCAGTGTTTCCTTTGGCTGTACTCTCAGGATATGAGCTCTTTATGTCCTTTTGTATGTATGTGCTGTGTCTTCTTCAGACTGACTGTGACTGGCATGAGATCTGGGTTCTTTTGTCTAGTAAGGGCAGAAAGGTACAAAGTCACCCATACCTTTGGCTGGTCTTGCCTTGCAAAGTAGCATCCATTTGCAAAACAACTTGCCAGAGTTTGAGTGTGTGGAAGGTGGGTAATGGAGTGTGAATTTGATGAGGCCTTAAGGAAGTCAAATCTGTGCCTTTTGCTTTTTTGGCACCTTGCCATTTGAACCAGCCATGCCAGCTGAACCAGTCATACTAAGAATTGGCATAGCACTTGGAGATTATCATCTCCTTGCCCAGTTTTATTTTCATTTATTTATTTTGGACTTTTTATTGTGGTTTGGATAAAAGTTTGCAGAAAAAGTTTTTATTTGGTTTTGGATTAATTTTCCATTCAACAGTTTATACACATTTTGTTTCATGCATTAGTTGCAGTCTCCTCAATGTAACAGCACCCTTTCCACTTCCTCCCTTGGTTCCCTGTTTCCATTCATCCTTCTTTCCTGCCCCCTAAGCTTTGTTTTAGCTCTGGTGGCATAGTGCCTAAGGCATGTGACTGCTAACCAGAAGGCTCGTGGTTCAAACCCACCAGCCACTACCCATTGGAAGGAAGACTGGGCAATCTACTTCCGTAGTGATACTGCCTCTGAAACCCAAGGAGGGGTCACTGAGTTGGTTCGACTCAAGGGCAGTGAGAAGCTTTGTTTTAGGAGCTCTGGTCGTGTAGTGCCTAAAGCATTTGACTGCTAACAGGAAGGCTGCTGGTTCAAACCTACCAGCCACTCCTCCTCAGAAGGAAGATTGTCTAATCCACTTCCGTAGTGATGCTGCCTAGGAAACACAAGGAGGGGTCACTGTAAGTTAGAATCAACTCGAGGAGTGAATTTGTTTTTTTTTTTGTAAGCTTTGTTTTGGGGCAAATGCTACCCTTTTGGTTTTGTATGGTTGATTGTACTGAGGAGGACGTTCCTCCCTGGTATTACTCACTTTATAGGTCTGTCTATTGTTTGGCTGAAAGTTGTTCCCCCAGAGTGGGTTCAATTCCAGTCTTGAAGAGTGTCTAAAGACCTCAGGGATTCCACCAATCTCTATCAGATCAGTAAGTCTGGTCTTTTTTATGATTTTGAATTTTGTTCTATGTTTTTTTTTCTCTTTCTCTGTCCCAGACCTTCTATTGTACTGTGACCCTAATCAGAGGCAGTTGGTGTGCTCGGTGGCCTCAGGGCACCATCTGGTCTCAGGGTAGTAGAGACTGTTTTCCTCACCTTGTTTTAGGGAAAGTAAATAAGGTGAGGCACAGCAATTTCTCCAAAGATACCCAACAAATAGAGACCAAACCAAACCAAACTCACTGCCATCGAGACCAGTCCTACTCATAACAACCCCTCCTTGGGTTTTTGAGGCAGTATCACTACGGAAGTAGATTGCCCAGTCTTCCTTCCGAGGAGTGGCTGGTGGGTTTGAACCGCCAGCCTTCTGGTTAGCAGTCAAGTGCCTTAAGCACTACTTCACCAGAGCTCCTACAAATAGAGGGTTGTTGTTGTTGTTGTTAAGTGCCGTCGAGTCGTTTCCGACTCATAGCGACCCCATGCACAGCAGAACGAAACACTGCCTGATCCTGCGCCAGCCCCACAAAAAATAGAGGGTAGGGGTAGGAAAAGAATTCTTAACCTCATCATGGTTTACCTACAAAGTCCCTCCCTTTTACGTGTTGATGGATGGCGTGCATACCTTATTTATTTATTCACACTCACTATCACTCACTGCCATTGCAAGTCATAGCGACCCCTCCTTGGGTTTCCCAGGCTAGCTCATAGTCTTAAATGGAGAAGACAAATTATGTAAGTGTTATGAAAGACAAAGGAGTCACTGGGTGGTGCAAAGGTCTGGTAATCTGAAAAATCAGCCATTGGAAACGTTATGGCTCACAGTGCTGCTCTGACACACGTGGGGTCACCGTAAATTGGAATCAACTCAATGGCAACTGAGGAATGAAGGAAAAGAACAGGAAGTATGATATGTAGATTAATTGAGGGGCAGGCCCTAAGAAAATCATTCTTATCTGAATGTTCTTCATGATCCTTAGTCAAAAGAATAAAGTCATACTACATGCTCAGATAAATTGGTAATCTAGGTTTGAGACAAGGGGACATGCTGGCCTCAACATGAGTGGAGACCACTAGTAAAAATAGGGGTCTGTAAGCTGAGAAATCTCCCTGTCTACCTTTCCATAAACATCTAAAAGAAACCATTCCACAGGCAATGGCTTATCATAGGGAACAAGACTTGACCTGGACTGGAACGTGACACACATATCCCTCCACACACACACACACACACACACACACACGTACACACTTAGAAAAACCGATCTGAGGTTTGAGGTTGAGGATGTGGCTAAGCTGTGTCACAAAACAGACAGCTGATGCATTTCTTAGTTCCTTATCTCAATCCCAAGAATAGACAGCTCATTGTCCCAAAGTTTTCTTGCCTTTCTCTATAATAAGACCAACTTCTTGGGGGGGTTGGAAAGGTCTGGTTGCTTACATTTCAAAATAAAACCTAAATACTTTGTCATTCGGCATCTCTCTTTGTATAAAGTGCCTAGCACTGATTTAAGGGCTACACTCTTAATATTATTTCAATTAATCCTAACCCCTCAAAACACAGAACCAAATGAGGTAGGTGTTACACGCTCCATTTTCAGATGAGGAAACAGACTCAGAACCAAGTTAGTTAAGTTAGTTGGTAAAGTTGGGATTTGAATTCTGCCATTTTGCTCTCAGAATCCATGCTTGTCACCACTGCATGCCAGTCTCTTTCTCTCATCTCCTTCTTCCCACTCCCATCCCTAGCTCTTACTACAGTACCTTTTATATGGCAGGACTGATAATTATGGGAATTATAAATGGAATTTAATGGAAAAGCTAAAATCCAGAGAGATTGACTTTCTTAAAGTCACAGGGCTTGTTGGGATTAAAAATCTATAACGTAAATTAAGATTCCCAGCTGAGGCCATTGTTCTTCAGGCTGCCTTAGTTATTTAAGGAAAGGGGAACAAGGATAAAGGTGAGGGTGGTAATATAGAAATGTCCATGGTACATGGATATTCTTGTAGCAGAGGAAGTTGTGAACTGCAAAGTGGCTCAAAGTGAAACAGAAAGCAAGTTGTATGAGCTCAGTACTTGTCAGGCTTTTGCTTTTCCCGATTTGCCTAGAACGGAATGTTTCTTGGGTGAGTGCCCAGAAATCTGTAGCGTTTCTGTAGCAAATCGGACAATCTTTTCTGTGCCTTACTTTATCCCACAGGATCCTCACCATGGATGATACAGTAGAAGATCCCCCCACATCGGCTGTCTTGCTGGATCATTGTCACTTCGCTCAGGTCATCTTTAACAGCGTGGAGAAGTTTTATGTCCCTGGAGGGGACATCACATGCTATTATACCCTCACCCAGCATTTCATCCCTCGTCGAAAGGATTGGATTGGCATCTTTAGAGTAAGTGGTTAATTGAGTACCAAGTGATCAGGAGCTAGAGATGAATCTTAAAGCATTTTGTGTTATGTCTGGCCACTTTCTCACACCAACGTCTGCTGTGGGATGCACGTTTTAAATTCAATCTCAAACTAAAATAAGATTGCAAACGTTTTGATCCCCAAATTTAATAATGCTTTCATAGACCAATTGCAATTTTTTTTAAATATCCTATTTTGAAATATCCTATGCATAGTGGCTAAGACACTTGCCTGCTAACCAGACGGCTGGCGGTTCAAACCCACCAGCCACTCCTCGGAAGGAAGGTTGGGCAATCCTACTTCCGTAGTGATACTGCCTCGGAAACCCAAGGAGGGGTCGCTATGAGTTGGGGCGGACTCGACGGCACATAACAACAACAACAACAACAACATGGCTTGACAGGGATGGGTAGTCTTATGTAAGGTCTGTGATTTTAAGCAACACATCCTTACTTAGTCCAGTGTTTAATTTGTTTTAATATGAATACCACAAATCTAGAAAAGATGTTGAGAGGTTACCTGGTCCCACACCCTGCATTCAGGAAATCTGTTGCTGAGTATGTCTCGCTTCTTTGTAAAAATTTCTAACCAAGTTTATGGGCCCCGTCAGTGACCTCTTCCAGTGTCTAATCACCCTGTCAGTTCAAGTATAGAAACTGATACTATTTTTTTTATAATCAGCTTCCTCAACCACTTCTTCCTTTATTATCCTCCTCCCATAGCCTTTCTTTGTTTCTGACACATGCACAGACATACGCACTCCATAATGACAGATCTTCCTATTTGCAGAGACTGGAGATAAAGGTCAGATTTAAGTAATTTACACTGCTGAGTTCCAATATCAGTGACCTTTGATTTGACACCTCACTATGTCATGTGCCGGTTTGCTGTGCTGCTCATCCTGAAATCAGACACCATTCTTCACTGCACTGTGAAGAACCCATTGCTTATTCACATCCTTCATTAGATAGCTTTTCCTTAATTGTTTGGAATACCAAACTCCTTGATGGAGCTATAAAAGCTGGAGATAACAAGACTGGTATTTGGAGGTGGGACTAGTTGACAACCACAGGGACACTGGCAAGTGTCATGACAGTTCCTAAGACTGCAGGATATTGAATCATCAAGCTGAAAGGTGAACTAACACAAAACTGACACAGCAGAGCATTTTCTCTTAGAAAGAAGACGGTATTTTTTTTGCTTCCCTCAGTGTAGTAAAACATACAGACTGGTGCTGTCCAAGAGCTTTCCATGATGGAGCTATACTTTTGCTGTCCAATACATGTGGCTGTTGATCACTTGAAATGTGCTAGTGTGACTGTATTTTAAATTTTATTTAATTTCAATTAATTAAAGTAGCCACATGTGGCTAATGGCTATCATTGAACAGTGTAGGCATAGATAAAATTTTTTAAAAAATGGTTAAAAAATTACTTATTTCTTGCAACATGTTTATATTTCTATTTTATTTAGACTGAATGTTTGTATTCTCCAAGTAATGAGCAACCAACTACCAGTGAAGACTTTGTTATAAACTAAATGGAAATCTTGTGCTTTTTAAAAACAAATGTGTTTAAAAGCATTTGAAAAAAAAACCCACAGCATCTCTATTTGGAATGCGTCACGCATTTTGCATTGCCATATGCAAATAAAGAAATAAGGTTAATTCAGAGAAAGTTCTCTAATGTTCATTGTCCATAAAACTATGAACTTGAACACCTACCCTGAAGCCCAAAAGTTGTAAGAAATCTTAAGCTACTAATGCAAGTTTGCTTGTTTGAGAAAATACTGCGTGTGCCCAGGTCCTTGGTGAGGTTTTATGTGTGGTGTGCGTGTGTTTTCTGATCCTCACAGCACAGCAGCCCCATGAGGTGGGTGGGCTTATCTCTTGTACATAGACGAATAAAATGAATAGACTTGAGAGATGGAGACTTTCCCAAGGTCTCACAGTGAGTAAGTGCTAAAGTAGCATTTAATGTCAAGTGTGTTTGACTCCCAAGCCTGGACTTTTTCTCCTGGATTATGTTGGATCCCTTTGAACAATTACAGAATTAAGAGTTGATCTTAAAGTTTGCTTCCTTCATATCCCACAGTGTTCTTTTCTGTGTTGCCTTAATCAAGTTCCTCAACTCCTTATCCCCTTTACTGCCAGTAGTTCCTGGGGCCTGGGAGGCACTTAGTGTTTTTGAATGCAGGCATATGCTACATCTTCTCAATATAGAGAAAGCCACCACCAATCATAGAGCCTAAAGTGGGTGAGAGGCAGCTTTCTTGCCTTCAAATTAATCTGTGATCCTGTGCTCTGTACTTTCCTCTACCTGGGCCTTTAAATGTTTTCAAGGTTTCAAAGAGGAGAAATGCCACAGAGGCAGACTGGGACTAGGAGAGTCATTTTTGCCTTAAGTCTCCTCTAGTAGAGCAGCCAAGGCCAGAAATTGCAGATGGCTGGAAGTTGTTTCCTTGTTCCAAGACAGCAGTAATTCTGAGGCCTTCTCAAATGATATTTCGGTCACAGTGCATTAAGAAACTCCAGGATGTGAATGAGGACTCCATAAAATTCCTGCTTCCTGGACCACCGCAGGCTGCAGTGGCTCTGAGATGCTTACAGCAATGGGGTGTGTATTAATGAGACACTAAAACATGCCCTCGTATGTTCTGATGAGCTTTCAGTATAGCCTTTTCAACTCTTGCTCTGATTCCTTAATATATAAAAGTGGAATTTGTTTTTAGTTCTTTTTCTTCCCACTGGGCTCAAAACCAAACTAAACCCACTGCCGTGGAGTCGGATCTGACTCATAGCAACCCCTCCTCGGGTTTCCGAGGTGGTCTCGTGGTCAAAATATGGCAGTAAATATAATTTTGCCTCTCGTTTGCCGAGATCCCCCCTTGGAGATACAATGGCTCTCTTTCAGTTCTCTGGCGTGCTCTCATCTTCCACAGAGGATTTGCGCCATCTTACATTTAGTGAGAAGATTTTCGACTTGGCCAGCTTTCTGCTCTAAGGCATATTTTATTGTGTTCTCAAGTCTTATGATTTACTGCATTCAGTACCTAGAAGGGGCCTTCGTAAACCACAAGATTGCTAAGACTCCCTGCTTCCCACCCACCCATCCACACACATACATTATTCAAAAGGATGCATTTTTAAAATGCAGTAGTATAATTGGTATAGGTGGCAAGGCTGAATTGGACACAGTAAAGGACAAGCCAGTGTAAAATACAGGCCAGAGTGCTTTTTGCTATAGAACTTCCAAGAATCCTCTTTGTAAGAAGGTAACAGGATTGAGGTTCACAATTCCAGAACTTTTCTCCCCAGTCACTCAATTCTGTGTCTGACTAGGAGATACAATTTTTGCAAAGCTTATGTTAAGTAACTAGTTCTTATTTCCTGCTAAGTCTAATATTTTGGACTTTGTGTACATGTCAATTTTCAGTTGTAGCAGACATTTTAACCATATGTTGTTTTAAGTCAAAACCAAGATTTGATCCATGGTGTGTGAATCCTGACATAATAAACCCATTCGGTTGTATTTCCAACATATACAAATAAGAAGTGTATTTTATGAAGAGATAGACTACATAATATTTTCCCTTTCAGGTGCTGAACAAGAGCTTTCTTGTCTTTGCAGGTGGGATGGAAGACAACCCGTGAGTATTACACTTTCATGTGGGTTACTTTGCCCATTGACCTAAACAGCGAATCAACCAAACAGCAGGAAGTCCACTTCAAAGGTGAGACAATTACTGGATCAAAGGTGTTGGAGACATTCAGCAGACCAGGCTAATTAATCATCTTGAGCTTGTCCTTTCTGGGGCAAAAAAACCAAACCAAACCAAACCTGTATTTAAAATTTTCTGAATAGACCTTATTTTGGATTAAAAAACATGTTGTGTTTTCAGCTTATTACCTGCCCAAGGATGATGAGTATTACCAGTTCTGCTATGTGGATCAGGATGGTGTGGTCCGAGGAGCAAGTATCCCTTTCCAGTTCCGTCCAGAAAGTGAAGAAGACATCCTGGTTGTTACCACTCAGGTCTGTAAATATCCCACCTTGATCCCTTTCTGCCATCAGATTAGCAATTCCAGGACAAGAGTGAACTAATAAGTCTTTTGAGCCAGATAGTGTTAGGAAAATTTATATAATAAACACCGCAACCCACTCAGAAATGATTTCAGAACCTTAAAAAGAATCATGAGAATAAATTATCTCTCCTTTCTAAACTTTTGACTCATATGCCACTGAGTTATTTCCTTAACTTTTCCAATTACCTAATTCTTGTCATATGTACACCTTACCACCATAGTAAATTTATCAGCTCTCTCTTTTTTTTTTAATCAGCTCCTTTGAGGATAGAAGTACCAAATAATCTTTATATCTCTCTCAACTCTGAGCCAGACCTGTCGTGTATTAGATTCATTTACTTAGTCATTTAACAGGACACCTGCTTTTCATTCAGCACCGTGGTAGGCACTAGGGATGTAGTGAAGAATTAAAACACTGTCCCAACGGATAGATGGGTGAACAAGCTAAACAATTATGTATGTCTAAATGGAGAGTGTATCCAAGATCATATACAGGGTTGGCAGAAAATGGGCCTCTCGAAGAGTATGAAGGGATGGACACTGGGAGGAGGTAACTATGGGGAGGAAGTGGGAGGGGAGCTGCTGCATTGTAAATTTTGGTCAATGACACGAGACAAAGTATATGTGAACTGCTGTATGAAAAGTGAATTTACTCTGTAAATCTTCACCCAAATCCTAAAAAAAAAAAAAAAAAAAAAACACTGTCCCAAGCCTCAAGGAGCTAAGTGCAGTAGGAGAGACAAACAATACTAAGTGTCTGCAAGAAGAATCTACATTGCTTCCTTCTTTCATTCCTTGTTTTGACTTTTTATGGCCTTGATTTTTGTGATATTGATAACCTTCATGCTGTCCTTCTGCGGAAATACCATATCACACCTTGAACTAGATGAAGCTGCTGCTCCCATTGAGGGTATACGGGTGTCACTACAGTGGGTGGGAAATCAGCCAGACCTGCACCCCCCCCAGTTTATGGGAATTTTCTTTCAGAGGGACCTAAATATCCACTGCGGTATAAAGGGTCAAATGTGAGTTTGTGTAATGTTCTTTCATAGGGAGAGGTGGAGGAGATTGATCAGCGTAACAAGGAGCTTTGTAAAGAAAACCAGGAGCTGAAGGACAGCTGTAGCAGCCTCCAGAAACAGAACTCAGAAATGCAGGCTGAGCTCCAGAAGGTGCAGGTATGGCTGCTGGCTACAGGTGAAGTTGGATCACAGAGGGCAGAATTGGATGCTGCCTCTTACCCAGCAACATTGTCTGTTTTGCTTGTGATCTCACTCCCTTATACTAATTATATTTGTTGACTGTCTGAGATACTAAAAAAAGAAAAACTTGAACTGGATTGTCCCTTTGATGACTTTTCAGTCTGTTTTCTTTTAGGGACTGCAGGAGGAGCTAGAAACTCTAAAGAGCATCAATAAGAAGTTGGAACAAAAAGTGAAAGAGCAGAAGGACTGTTGGGAGATAGAGCTGCTTCAGTGAGTTTATTCCATAATTCTTAGATATGAAGATGATATCAGATACCCTTAGGTAGAGAATTTGTATCAAAATGGGAAGGAAAAATGACCTGGGTTCAAATACTAACTTTAGGGATTAAATACTTGCAGTCGTTTGGGGTCAAGAAGCCAAAACAGGATTGTAGAAGAGACTAACCAAACCCATTGGTATCGTGTTGATTCCAATTCATAGCAACCCTATAGGACAGAGTAGAACTGCCCCACAGGGTTTCCAAGGCTATAGTCTTTATGGAAGCAGACTGCCACATCTTTCTCCCACAGAGCGGCTAGTGGGTTCAAGCTGCCAGCCTTTTGATTTGCAGCTGAGCGCTTAACCACTAGACCACCAGGACTCCTGTAAAGAGACTAGTGGATTTTAAAATAATCCTACAAGGTTAGAGCCAAGCGATCCATGTATCATTTAAGGCCAGAGGCAGCTAACCAAGAAAAACAACTATTGCTGCTTCTCTGGATTAAGTAATATAGCATTAGATTCTGAGGTCAGCACTTGTTTAACATAGTCAGCTCTACCTCCACAGACTCAAAGAGCAAAACCAGAAGATGTCTTCAGAAAATGAGAAGATGGGAAACAGAGTAGATCAGCTTCAGGTAGGTAATGTGTTTTGTATTTTCTTAATCTTGCCAACTGCCACCACTTTCTGGTAGCCCGGGAAGATGCATTTCATTGTAACAAGTGCCTCACAGTGTACCTTTCAAAGCACAGGACTGAAGTTTCAGGTTGTGTGTTTTCTGGTTTTGAACCAAACACACACACCCTCCTCCTCTTTTTAAAACCATCGTGGTCCTTAGGGAATTGAAGAATTTGTTCAACTTATGTTTATCATGAGCTCTTCAGATGGATGACAATCCTCTCTGCCAGTGGTTTTCAAACTATTTTTGGTCCTTAGGGAATTGAAGAATTTGTTCAACTTTACTTATCATGAGCTTTTCACTCTTCAGATGGATGACAATCCTCTCTACCAATGGTTTTCAAACTCTTTTTAGTGACATATCTTCCAAGCAAATCTTACTTGAAAGCCTGGAATGTAAAGCAGAGACATCAGAATTGCTGTCATTTTTAGGAGGTTATGCCTTAAAGAACAGCTTTAAGGAGTGCTTTAGGGTCTAAGATTATGGGGTTTGGTAGAGCTGAAAAATGAAGTTCTGAAGGATATTTGGCAGTTGGAAGTTGTTGGGGAAACACATCTCTTTGTTACTGTACATAAAAAAAAAAAGGCATTGTTTCTGTTTAATTTCCCTTATATCTTAGTCATATTGTTGTCGCTTTAGGCCCAGCTGTTAATTCAGGAGAAAGAAATGGAGAAGCTTACTCAGGGAGATAAAGATAAGACCGAGCAACTGGAGCATCTGAAAAAGGAAAATAACCAGCTGTTTCTCAGTTTAACTGATCAGGTAGAGCATGGAAGAAAATAACATTTTTAGGCATTTGCAAGAAAATATGTACACTTTCTTTCCTTGTCTTTACCTGGATGTCACTGGCTCTGGGAGAGCTCTCAGAAAAAGCCATCTCACATGAGATGCTCACAGTTTTTCTCAGAAACTGTAAGAGAACTTGTCTCCTCTTCTGCATGCTACTTGCTTGTTAGCTCAGTGGGCCTTTCCTTGGTATATGGTGGGGTAGAGGAAATGTTTTCCCAGCGTGAGACTGAAACCGTTTTTTTTTTTTTTTTTCAGAAGAAGCATCAGAAACAGCTTGAGCAGACCGTGCTGGAGATGAAGCAGAAGGAAACTGCCGCAGCAAGGAAACGGCAGGAGTTAACGGCACGTCTGTCTTTGTGTGACTTGCTGGGACGGGGCATGGGGAAGGGAATTGATACGCCCTGTTTTCAGGTGACGGGCTGGAATAACATTGGCCTGTGCATGGTTTGCTCCCTATCTAAAAAGAGAATCTGCTGTTTACAAAATCTTTAGAAGTGGGCATTTCTAATACATGATGAGTAACAGGGAAATACTGAAATTTTAGAAGTATAATAGCAAATGTATAGCAAATTTTGTCATAATTAATAATAATAGCAATTATAATTATAGACTGTAGTAATGAAAGCCTAATTGACTAATAATGTCTTATAGTGTTGGAAAAGAAGCCTCAGGTTAAGATAGGTGCCTTGAAGCCCCGTTTTCTGAATTGATGTTAGGGCATGAGAAATCCTGATGTCTGGAAGATATCTAACTATGGGGATTGTAACTCATATCTATGCATCATTCATTCAATCATTATTTAGTCAATTATTGAGGACCTACTGTTATATATAGTTTCAGCGTAACAGTAAAGAGTAGAACAAAGTTGGCAAATGGGCAGCTCACAGGTCAAGTTCAGCCCCCAAAATTAAAGTACAGTTGCCCTTTGGTATCTGTGGGGATTGGTTGCGGGACCTCCATAGACACCAAAATCCAGGGATACTCAAGTCCCTCATACAAAATGGTGGACTGTTTGCGTGTAACCTAAGCATATCCTCCTATATACTTGGAATCCTCTCTAGATTACTTCTAACACTCAGTACAATGCAAATGCTATGTAAATAGCACTTTAGACTTCTGTGAAGCTTTGCAGGATTGCTTTGACCACGTAATTCCATACCCCCTGCCCCAAATATTTTGGATCTGTGATTAGTTGAGTCCATGTATGTGGAACCTATGGATACAGAGGGTCAACTGTAGTTCGCATCATTTTAAAATTGGATGTTTCCCTTTCTAAAAAGATGTATTTCCAACTTCTTTGGCAAATTTGGAGGATGTGGCAACATTGAGCCCATGTTCCCACATAGCAACACTATCTGGAGCCAGTTAGCTGCTGTGCCCTTCAGATGGGCATGCATTCTTCATTTTGCTGCAGTCTTTGCTGTTTTGTTGCATCCAGCTCCTTCACTCAGTTACATTACTTGCCTGGCCCTTATACACACATTAGAATTTGTTGTGACCTCTGATAGTGCAGTGGAATTACTGTTTTCAATAACATAGCCATTCAAAGGTTTGAACCTCCTTGTGGCTGGTGTGAGTTTCCTTGGTTTTCATGAGGTATTTTTCAAGACCTGAGGCAATTCTTTATTCCTCATGTGTATTCCCAAAGGCCTTTAACTATGAGGATTATGTATCTTTATACTTCAGGAGCCTAGAAACGACAGAACAGCAGTGGAGGAGCAGTTAGTACAAGAGGTGGAACACCTAAAGGCAAAGGTAGAGGCCGGGAAAGCCTGTTTCTTAGAGAAGTACAAGGAGTGTCAGCGCCTCCACAGACAGATCAGGCAGCTCAGGGCTGCTGCACTGGTAGGTGGCAGAGACAAGGGGCCCAGGAAAACAAGGGGTATAAAGACCATGGCTCTCAGACCTAGCCCAGAGGATCATACATCCTTGTTCGCAGGAGAACTTTATCTTTCAGCCAAAAACAGAAGGGAAATGATGTGAGGCCAGAAACTAGCTTGGGGATTCCCATCAGAATTGGCCCCAGCTCAGTCATGGTCTCTGGGTTTCCTCAGGGAAGGTTTTTGTAATCATTGGAGAGGCTTCTGTGCAGACTCAGATAGTCCTTTCTTATTTCTGCCTTTTGAGGAAGTGAAGCAGGACCAGCAGAGCCAGCGGCAGCCAATGGGGATGGGGAGCAAGGAGCCTGCAGTGAGCACTGTCGTCGGGTAGCCCCTTCTCGCATTACTACCCCAGGGTCGGCTAGAAGCGCACAGCAATTTGGGCACCAACGGTCAAATAAAAAATCTTGGAAAACCACAAGTAGGATTAGCTTAAGTGTTTTTGTGAGGTATGCGAATGTGTATGTATGTAGGTAGGAGACAAAAGCACTAAAGCATGCCTAGGGGTACTTGAAACTAGTCAAGCCAACCCGTCAAGTTGGGAAGTAGAAGACCCAGTCTGCATTCCTTGTAGTCTTGGATAAATGCCTTCCTCCTTAGTGAAACTTGAGTCCAGATCTCTATTCTCACCCTGTGGGAGAAAGTCATTCCAACTTACCCTGAAGTGCTTCACGCTTCAGTGAGTTAGATGTTTATTCAGAACAATGATGATTGTTTTCATGGGTGGGTGGGATTAAACAAGGCTCCATTTATCCCTAATTCTGTCAAGTCAGTCTTGAGGTTTTTCCTAAGTTTACATTTTCTTCATTTGATGAGTTATTCTCTCAGCCAAACCAGAAGAACCCAGCATCTTGATGCCAGCACAGGCATTTTGTTACGTCACCTTTCTATAAGTCAGCATCCCCTCCATAGTACCACTCCTCCCTGTCCCGTTTCCCTCCCCACCCCACCTCATTCCCACCTCCCTGGAAGGCCAGAATCCTCTACATTCTCAGATTACAATTCGTGATCCTAATCCTAATTTTTTTTTTTTATTGTTGATAGGACCAGAACTTTGACCTATCAAAAAGACTGAGTGAGAATGAGTTTATATGTAAAACTCTGCAGAGAGAAAATGAGAAAATGGAGGGAGAAAATGATGTAAGTGTGTGAACCTGCTGCCTTCAAATCCATTCCTACTCTTAGCAACCCTCTAGGACAAAGTAGAACCTCCCCTTAAGGTTTCTAAGGCTATAATCTTTTATGGAGGCAGACTGTCACATCTTTCTTTGCAGAAAAGTTGTTGGGTTTGAACCACTGAGCTTTTGATTAGCAGCTTCACCACCACACCAGCAGGGTGAAAGAGAGTGGACCTCAACTCCAAGGTCTTAAGCGGAAGGAGCAGGGTATATCAGAAATGGTGATAAAATAAAAAGTTAAATAAAAGGGCCCTTTTCTGAGACAATAGATGAGACAGTTGCTCCTGAGCAAAGATTAAATTTAATCTGGTTTCCTAATCTACCACAAAGGAGCTATGGTGGCATAATGCCTAAGGGACTTGACTGTTAACCAGAAGGCTGGTGGTTCAAACCCACCAGCCACTCGGAAGGAAGGTTGGGCAATCTACTTCCGTAGTGATACAGCCTCAGAAACCCAAGGAGGGGTCATTATGAGTCAGACCCGACTCAACAGCACATGACAACGACTGACAATCTACCACAAAAGCCTCTCTGTTCTACAATTGAAACTCGTGTGGTATGGCTATAGTCACCTTGAAAGGAGTAGTTCTTCTGTGCTATAAAAATATAGATAATGAAAGAAGCAGTATTGATGACCTAATTTATTTTGCTTACCTTGACAGCTATTAAAAGTATGTTCTTTAGAGGTATAGTATCCTGTTACTTTTATGCTAGCTAGGGGACCCATTTCCTACAGCACTTTTTCCTTTTTCTCTGCTGCCAAACCAGTAATAGAAGTGGTGGTCTGTACCAGTTCTGGACCCATGGTAGGCCTCTAATAAATGCTGTGCATTCATTCATTCTTTCATCAGTCCATTCATTCATGCAGCCAATACTTCATTATCTGCTAAGTATTGAACACTAAATTATTGTTGATTGATTGATTGAGGGTGATGGCAGCAGATAAAGTGGTTACACTTGTCATTCTCCTGCTCTTGCCGAGCATCAAAAACTAGGTGTCCAGGCATCCTCATGACTACTAGATCTGCACTTCCAACAGTTCTCCACCTACCTTCTCTGCAACACGTGGACTATTCCTCCAGGCAGTCATTTCTACTTTGGTCATATGCCCATGTGTTACAGTATTGCAGAAGGCCTTTGAGAAGGGCTTGTCGTTGATTCTCATTCATTTGACTTAGATAAGTCTATCTAGAGTTTGAAATACCTATTTTCCTGGGTTTGTCTCAGGGTGAGTGGGAGTGGCAGTTCAACAAGAAGGAAAAGATCTGGTATTTGGAGGCTTTGTTGAGAACTATAGTGAAACCTTAAAATGTTAATGGGCCCATTTACTAATTTCCTGTTTTTTTTTTCCAAGAAGGGAAGATTATATTAGATGAATGTTCATGTTGTATAAAAATTACTCTAGGAAGGACATTGGAAGAAGCACTTGCTCTCAATAATATACAACAGTTTTAGTCTTAATATAGCTTCCCTCATATATGCACAAAACATTTGCCCTCCCCTTACTTCAGTTGGTATGTATTCAGAAACTGTATTGTTTTAATCTAAACAAAATCCAGCAAATATATTTAAGTTCAGTTGAAGATCTCAAATATTTGGAATGTTGAGACTGCTGTTTCCCCTTTTGAAGAATTATGGGTTATCATTTATGTGGGTTTCTCCGGTGCCACATTGAGAGCTGCTTGTAATGAACTGCCCCTTCCCAGTTCCTGGTGATCGTTCTGTGTTGCTCCCTTTCACTGTGTCTCTGTTTCTCTGTCCCCAGCTTTTGAAGAGGGAGAATAGCAGATTGCTGAGTTACATGGGTCTGGATTTTGACTCTTTGCCATATCAAGTGCCTGCTTCAGCTCAGGGAGGTGCACGACAAAACCCAGGACTTGTGTATGGAAACCCATATTGTGGTAAGACAGCTTTGTCGTTCGTGCTAGAAGGCCCCTGTGTGCCTAAATTTCTTTCCCCTACTAAATTTTTTTTTTCTTTTGGGGCTGAGTTGCTAATTAAGACCAGTTTCATTGTTAAGACTTGCTGGGCAGAAACTGAGGATCCAATAGAAAGATTGCCAGGCGTGAAGCGTTAATTGAGAAATAAATCTGGATTCTGAAGACGCAAATCAGATCATTCGCCCAGAGGCAGCAGACACAAATTGAGTCCCGAGGCTATATTCCAAATGTATAAATCAGAGAAATGTCTTTATGTAGAAGATATATACATACAAAGCTGAGGAGGCTAATTAAGATTTAGAAATGGAAGCACTAGGGCTGGGTTATTCTGCCCAGGAGCTGGCAGTTAGGGCAGCCACCCTGATGGCCTGACTTAGGGTAGTAGGAGTGTGCTCCAGAGAGACTCATGGTTTGGAGGACAGGAAATGGGGTGAAAAACACTCTGTCATTCAAGGAGTTGGGGTAGGGTGTGCTTGCCAAATGGGGAGCTTTTCTCTCTTGTCTTCAAAAGCAATATAAGACCTCATTTGCTTTTTTGGATAGTTTATGGTGGTAATTTTGTCTTAAGAGTCATAACCAGATCTTTGCAGGGTACGGATTTTTTCTTTAAAAATGTCTTTGTACAGATGCAGCCTTAAAATCTATCCTCAAGACTGTTTTCTTGTTAGGTTGTTATTGTTCTTATTAAAACCTTGTTTATTTTTCTATTCTGAAAATAGCTTTATTGTTTTTTCTGATTATATCTCATGTAACTGGCTATTGAAAGTGCATTTCCTTTTTATTTCCTTTTCCTTTTATACTTTTCCTTCCCTTTATCATTGATCCCTTATATCAGAAATAAATGGTATATACCAGAGAGAAAGAAGCAGAGGCAGTGGGGAGAAAGGAAACGATGAGAGTTGCAGAAAACATCTGCTAGAACACAGGTGGACAGTGAGAGAATCTAAGGATGATGGGTTTGTCACTGAGTGAAACCTTTTTTATTCCTCTCAGGTATCCAAGAAAGTTCTTCTCCCAGCCTGGTAAGTATGAGCAAAAATCTGAGAGAAAATTTCCTTTCCTACTCTAGTTGATGGGAGAATATGGGGGACTGGTTCATTTTGATAACTCCAGAGGTCAGCTGAATCAATTTGTTCAGTCCCCAAACCTGAACCAGCCTGTTGAGGTGGGGAGAAGAAAGCGGTTCATCCGTCAGCATGCTGCACAAGATCGCCAGCTGTGAGTTAAGTTTGGTAGCACGACTAGGGAAGAAATACGTACTAGGCAGCTAGCCAAACAAAGATGCGTCCAATACCCCTTCCAGGGTAGAAGCTATTTTGACTACTTAAGCAGTATCAGGCCCTTTCGATCCTGGAGCTTAGAGAATGCCCCAGTGAGTATCTCCAAATGTGAATTCATTCATTATTCCATGGTAGGTTTTTGAGCACCTGCCATATACCATTCAGTATGCTAGGTGCTGCAGGTAAAGTAGGAAACAAGATAGATGTGGTCTCTTGCCACATATAACTGAAGTTTTACTAATTGCTGCTTTTCTCCCCAGGCCTCCATCAAAAAATGCACCACCTGCCACGTGGACTTTACTGATGATGTGACTAAGGAGGGTCACACCGTGGAGCATCATATGCAGGGCGTTTGTTTGGATTGTCCAGTTTGCAACAAAAGCTTTCCAGTAGACCAGATGCAGATTTTTGAAGACCATGTGCTCTGCCACTCTCTATAAGTGTCACAGCCTCTTGGATCTGTACTGTAGGGAGATTCTATAGAGTAGAACCTATCACTTCTACTATGAATTAGGACTCAAGATCCTGCCTAATCTGATATTATTAGGGATTTATTCAGCCCTGCTGTCCCTAGAGGTGGAGTCATGTTGATTAGCTGAAGGATAGTGTTAAGGGCTGTTATTCCAATGAAATAACTCTAGCTGTGCCAGCCCCTCACTTACAATGCCCATTCATTGAGAATCTCCAATACCAGAGGCCTGGGATGGAACTGACTTGGCTATTCACGACAGGCCTGACTTGAGTACTAAGTGATTAGATCTCCAGCTGGCCCACTGCCATTCAAGGTTAGGCCTTGAGTGTATTTGTACTCAGTCCTCAATCCTAACCCCTGGCCTCTCATCCAACTGACTACATTAGACTACCCAAAATTACACAGGAGAGAACTCCAATTAGGATACCAAAGGTTTCTCATCTTAATTTCTCAGCTACTAGCAGAAGCATCTTACTCCTGAACCATGGCCAGAAAATGTTATTTCAATCACAGAAAGCCGCCTTTGTCTCTGGACACCTGATTGGCATTTTCTACTCTGATCTTTCCTATGCACATAACTTTTATTATGATGAGTATTTTCTTATGAATAGTAAGAGTTGTTGGAAATTGTATGGGTTTGAACCTTTTTTCTGAGCAGGTGAATTTGAATACAGATGAGTCAATCATGAGACAAACATTGTTAAATCACTTTAATACAAAAAATAAACTGCTGTGTATTTTAGGGACTTTAGTCGTTTTAAATAAACCTTGAATTTATGGTCTTTTCTTTTTAAGCTCATGGGAAAAGTGTGGTCAAAAGGACTGTGGGAATGGGAGGTCCACCAGTTATTACTCTTGACCCATCCTGACTGTTCAGTAAGGGTGTGCTGGCAGCTATCTTGAGGTGGACTGGGCAGGGAAGGAATTAAGTTGAGAACTCGAGTCCTGAATGCATGCTCTGACCATGCTTTGCAAGGGGGCATTGTGGATTTTGGCACCCTTTCTGAACCGAGTTCAGTGCTCTTATCCAGAATTGCCTGAGTGAAAGCAATTCCATTGTCTCTGCCCCCGAGGGACTAAACAAATGGAAGTGACACCAGGTCAGTCAACTGAAGAGACTTGTACGAAAACTTTTGAGTGATACAAAACATGATGTCATGAGTAGAGTTGAGTCTAGTATAGCTCTGCATTCCTTCTGAGGTTTTCCCTGATTATACCCTCGCCTAACTGTATTGTCCTAGTCACAGCTCCTTGCCTTTATTTCTCGGTTGAAAAAAGATGGAACTATTACTACTCCTGTATTACCATTTCAGTAAGATGTCTTTCAGATTCATAAACCTTTTGCCCCCTTAAGAATCAGATATGACATTAAAACAAACTAGAATGGAAACACAGTTGGCCCTTGAACAAGGTGGGGCATTGACTCCTCATGTAGTTAAATCCACATATAACTTGATTTCTCCAAAATTTAACTACTGATAGCTTACTGTTGACCAGAGAAGCTTTACAGATAACATAAAACAGGCAACACAGTTCAACTGTCCAACACAATTATTTACAGTTACTAAGTAGAAGTGGATCATTGTAAACATCTTCATCTTCGTTGGCTTCAAGTTGAGTAGGCTGAGGAGGAGGGGTTGGTCATGCTGTCACAGGTAGCAGAGGCTGTAGAGGTGAAGAAAGTAGAAAGGGAGGCGGGCACACTGGGTGTAACTTTACGGAAATACCTAATTTTTGTCTGGCATTGTTTTTCATTTACCTAAAAATGTTTCTATACAATACCAATCCTCCTTTCACAATGTGCTTTAGTTTCAGTGCCTGTATCATAGAAGGGTGTGTGTCACAAAGGAAGTCAAAAGCAATCTTGAATAACCGGAACTCTTCTGTCAGATTGTCTTGTCAATTTGTTTTCAGATTTCACTGCTGCTTCTGCATCTTCTTCCTCATCATCTGGCACTGGGTTGGAAGACCTCATCTCTATCAAGTCACATTCTGTTAATTCCTCTGATGTGGTGTCTTGAATTTTGCCAAGATTCATATCTTGAAAATCTTGAAAAAATGTGTGTGTAAATGGACCTGGGCAGTTGAAAACTGCTGTTCAAGGATCAGCTGTGTAATGGGGAGGTGGTGATGCAGGAGTTTTTCTGGCAGATCCCCTTCCTCCCAGCACATTTCTGTTGCTCTTTGATAGTTCCAATGGGAAAGTGCAGTCTCACTTATTTTGGATTAGTCAGGTCTTAATTAAGTTCATCGGTGGAGAGGAGCGGTGGTGCACATACTCCAAATCAGTGAATACCATTTGCTGGTGAATTACCTTTGCCCTTGCTAAGAAACTGTTAGCACAGTAGTTAAAGTGCTTGGCTGCCAATCGAAAGGTTGGTGGTTCAAATCCGCCACTGCTCTGCCAGAGAAAGTTATGACAGGCTACTTCTGTGAGGTCTGATTCGACGGCACATAACAACAACAACTTCTGTGAGGATTTACAGCCTTGGGAATCCTATGGGACAGTTCATAGCGTTGCTTGCTATGAGTCAGAATTGACTCAATGGCAATGGGTTTGGTTTGGTGTTTCCCCTTACTACTGAGGGTTACCATGAGTATCAATAGCAGTGGACTAAAAAAAGACAAAATAGTTGAGGTGTTAATGACCCTTTTTCCTGGATATAAAACAAAGCATCTTTAATCACTGTTCATTATCCTTAGCTCTCTTGCCAAGACTTTGAAGGGGGGAACTAGGCTCCAGGCAGCCACTAGTAAGGAAACAATCATTCTAATATGAGCCACTGCTTATTCCAGCCTGCTCCTGACGTCCTTCAGGGCTCTGGTGGCATAGTGCCCAAGGCATTTGATTGCTAACCAGCCACTCCTCGGAAGGAAGATTGGGCAATCTACTTCCATACTGATACCACCTCAGAAACCCAAGGAAGGGTCTCTATGAGTAGCAGTTGCCTCGACGGCAGTGAATTTGGTTTTTTTTCTCCTATCCCCTTTGCACGCACCTCTTTTATACTTGTAAAATGCCTGCAAAAGGTAGGAGTTAGGGAGTCTTTGTGCTTATTAATAGCAATAGGTTTTCTTTTCCTAATTTTTTTTTTTTTTGGTCTAATATGAAAATGTTTTTGCATTACATGAACACATTTACTTGGTGGGCAGTGGAAAGTCACCCAGGAACATGTTGACTGGTGAAAAACAGCTAACCTGGACTGACGCCACCATGACAGTAGGCCATGAGCTTTGGAACCTGATGCAAGTGCAGCATGCGATCCACCTACAGCTCATCGCCCTTCAAATGGCGCACCTTCACTCACTGTTTCAGCAAGGGCATCCCTAATGCGCTGTGCCACACTCAGGCACCTTCCTGTGCATCATGCCCCCATTTGTGGGGGTTTATCTTGTCCATGCGGGGAAACCGAGTTAGAAATCCAAGAGGAAGAATCCAGCTGCCTGTGAAAATGACAAGTGAGCAACTCACCTGGATGACAGTTGCCTGTCTCGGAAAGACCCATCTCTGGGAGAAGAGTCTGCGTTGTAGTGTCTTGAAGACAATAAACTTGTTACAGGCTGAAAATAGAAAACTAACCGAAAAGCAGAAAAGGGAGCTGGCAAGATACTCAGTAAACCAAGGCCTCTAAGAACACCCATAGCTTCTTGCTAAAAATAGGGATGACTTGTGACTAGCTTGATGTTCAAATACTATTCATTCTCTTGTGAATCAAGTGATAGAGTGATTTTCTACAGTAGCAATGGATTGCACTGAGCCAAGCATACTCTAGCCTGGTCTCCTAGCAACAAATGATGAGATGGTAAGCCAGGGCTAAAAAATGCAGTCTGTTACCTACGAGAGAAGCAAAATGGATTCTACATAGAGATCAAACTCAAAAAGATACTCACCTACCCCAATAAGTTAACCAACAAGCCATAAGGTCAGGGAAGATAACCCACCCCAGTGCTCTCCTGACTTGGTTGCGTATCAACCTTAATGTATTTACATTCACATAGTGTTTTTTTCAGAGTATTTTGTGTGGTTGCTTTGTTGTTTTAATTTTAACTGTGATGTGGGTGAAAGTTTACAGAGCAAATTCATTTTCCATACAGCAGTTCATACACATTTTGCCTCATGGCATTGACTGCAATTCCCCACAGTATAACCGTTCTTTTCCCATTTCCTCCCCGTAGTTACCCCTTCCCTGTCACATAGTGTTTTATAGTTTAGAATGTGTTTTATATATTTCATTTGTACCTCCAATAACCCTTTGAAACAGACAAGGCAGCTAGCTATTAGCTTTCATTTTTATAGATGAATAAACTGAAGCATGGAGAAATAAGTTGCTAAACGTGGCAACAACCTGACGTCCATCACCCGAACAATGCATACAATGAAGTATTAGGCAATGAAAGTGAATGAATTACTAATATGTTACAACATGGATGAAGCTTGAAAACATGCCAAGTGAAACAAGCCAGTCACAAAAGACCACATATTGTATGATTTTGTTTATATGAAATGTCCAGAATAGGTCATCTATAGAAACAAAATTAATGAGTGCTTAGGGCTAAGAGTTTGGGAGGTAATGAATTTGGAGGGTTTTTTTTTTTGGGTGGTGAAATGTTCTAAAATTGTGGGGGTTGCACAACACAATATATTAAAAGGAACATGGAATAGTGTACTTTAAATTGGTGAACTGTATGCTATGTGAATTATATCTCAAGCTGTTAAATTTTTTAAAAAGATAAAAACCTGCTAAGGCCATGCATTGGCTCAAGTACAAATCCAGAGCAAGTTCAATACTGTTGAACTTGGTTAAAGTGCTTATCTCTGTACAATCCATTGCCATAACAGCATTGGTTTGTCTCCCTGTCTTGGGCTGGAGGCTGCAGCAATGGAATCAGGATGAACAGGGTCAGGGCAATTAATGGGAGCCCACAATTTGGCCAGCAGCATTAGTGGTCTCTGTTTGGAAATATCTA